AAACCAGACTCGTAGTTGGCAAGGCAGTAGGAACCATCAACTTGGAACCATATTGACCAGTCTCTCAATCCAATCCAATCCCATCTATACCAATCAACCAACCGGAATATGGAGAACAGCGCGGGGGAGAGTATGAAGTGTCTCTTTCTTCCCGAGACCCATTCCTATATGGAAGCGAGTTCGTCACAGCCTGACTTATCTCTGGTACCGATTCTCTATAGCCAGCAAGCCCAGACTTGGATGAAGGGTTGGTTGGTGCGCCAGAGAGGAATGGGGAGAAGGGGCCCGAGTTGGGAGCTCTTTCTATAGACAGAAACCTTTGACTCCAGAATTGAGAGATCCGTATTGGTATTTGGCCATGGGAAGAGACTAGTTAGTAGGTTCTTATTATCCATAGATGGTAGGGCTAGACTTTGATGAAGGGGCTGGCTCACTATCCCTTTAGAATGGGCCAATATGGTCATGCTCTAGAGTCAAGTAGTCAATAGAATAGGGGAGTGAGGGAGTCAGCGAAGATTGCGGGGGAGAGAGATCCGTATACAGAACTTCTTCTTCATAAAGACTATTCCTCCACTTCAAGGGGATGGGGCGATTCATCTTTGCGGCTTAGGATATGGAATTTCGTGTACTATTCCATTACGTGAGAAGTGGAAACACCCCAATCAATGGCAGGGATTCACGAAAGCGAGATTGCATGTTCGTGCCGCTGCTCTCCGGTTATTGGGGCTTAGTGCAGAAGGGAAATGCTCAAGTCTGTTAGATACGTATTCGATAGGGACGTGCACCTGGGAAGATCTGGCGAATTAGATCCGAATAGCCACCTTCTTCGTCCGAATTAGTGGAAAGCGACTTAGCCCTTCCATGCGTTGAGAGTTCGGGTCATACGGGTCAAAGCTGTGTTTGTGGTGAGGGCCAACAAGGTGATTTCGGTTTCCGACTCTCGCTGCCTCATCCCCAAGGTCAGGTGTGCCACCCTAGCCTAGCATCCTAGGCAAGCTCGTTCTGATCCAATAGTAGACCCAATAGGCCTAATCTTCCCAATCCAATGTCGGCCATTTTCAAGATTTTCATATGTTTATTGATCAATTTATATGAATTATCTTTGGAGTTTAAATTTTATAATTAGACATGAAAATAGATTTTTTGGCCATCCTAAAAAAAATTTATACCAAAAATTATATGTTATGGTGAAATTTCAAGGTGCGCCTTAATTTGATTGCTTAAGGTTGCAACCTTATACAAACCACACGCCTAAAATCTTCTTCAAGAGTTTATAGACAAGAAAAAAGGAAAAAAAATAAAAAGAAAAGAAAAATGGAATAGTTCATTGTGAGTTTCTTGAGTCCACCCATGTTTTTCATTGATCTAGAATATAAAACACATTATGAATCACTGCAAATATATTCTACCATGGATACATCTTTTTTACAGTTCAAAAAATGGTGCAGAGGATAATGAATAATGCAAAATTAGATCCAATTTTTTCAAAAAAAATAAAATTTCTTTATTTTTCCAAATTCATGATCACCATGGTTGAGATTATCGACCCTCTATAATTTTAGATCCAAAATCATTCTCTAAAATGGTGTTTGGATGGGGGTTACCTATAAACAGGTGCATCGAC